GAAAAAATTTCAATACTAAAGCACACGACGAGTTGTTTGTTGCAAATGGAAAAATTTCAATACAAATTCACAGGAGTTGTTTGTTGCAAATGAAAAAATTTCAATAAAATTCACATGACGAAATGTTTGTTGCAAATGAAAAAAATTCATACTAAATCACACGACGAGTTGTTTGTTGCAAATGGAAAAATTCCAATACAAAATTCACATGAGTTGTTTGTTGCAAATGAAAAAATTTCAATACTAAATTCACACCATGAGCTGTTGGCTGCAAATGAATACAATTTCAATACAAAATTTACACTGTGAGCCGTTTGCTGCAAATGAATAAAAATTCAATACAAAATTCACACTATGAGCTGTTTGTTGCAAATGAATAAAATTCCAAAAAAAAATTCGCACAACGCGTTGACTCTCTTTGTACAAGAGTCAGGCGAGAGAGGGTGAGAGAATTCACCCGCTGCTCCCCTCAGCAGTGTATATCAACGATGTGCCTGTTCTGTTCCCCGCTGTGGCCCTGGTGATTTCTCACCCTCCTGTGCTTCTGACTGTACCCAGTGCTTGTATAAATCAATAATAAAATAAATATTTTTTAAAAAAAGATTATGAAAAGAAATAGAAGAGGACACAAAGAAATGGAACCACATCCATTGGAACCTACTCTCTATCAGATTTGTTACTTGAGAATGACAGCTTCACTATGGTTATGTATTGTACTATTTCTTTGGATATATTTATCTCTATTTGTAAGCCAGAGACATCCTGCAGGGGGGGGGAGGAGCGAGGAGCACAGGGGACTGAGGTGATGGGGCACGGGGGCATTGGTGAAGGAAACTCTGCGTGCTCCACCTGAGGTGGGGGAAAGCAACCATTGCTTACAAAGGAACAATGATGAAAAACCCATAAAAAGAATCAATCAAAAAAACAAAACAAAAGGACACCTGCTCTCCTGTGTTTATTGCGGCCCGTTCTAGGATAGGTTAGCCATGGAAACAACACAAATGCCCCCAATGAGATGACTGCATCAAGGAGCTAGGACGCACACGATGGAATATTACTCAGCAATCAAAAAGGAGATAGTCATGCCATTCGCAGCAGCACGGATGGCGCTGGAAAGGATGATGCTCAGTGAAATAAGCCAGAAGAGAAGAGAAAAAGGTCAGAAGGTTTCACTGATCGCAGAAATGTAGGGAAACCCAATAAGGGATCAGGACACAAAATAACTACAATCAATGAAAATTCAAAACCAACAGGCAACCCTAGACCTGAGACATTCTGTAGGGGAGGCGGAGCCAGAGGGATGAGGATAAGGGTGGGAAGAGCACAAGGGTCTATGGTGACTGCGCATGGGCACCTTGGTGGTGGGCATTTCACAGGGAGGTCACACATTGTACAAAAATGAAGGATGGGCTAATAAATAGATTGCCGAAAACATAAGCTCCAGCTATCATTGTACCACCTCTCTCTACAGATTGGATCTGCCAAGTCATTTTGAGAGTTTCCCCTGGTTTACCTTAGGAATAAAATATATTCTCTTTGCCCCTGGGATTAGACACAGGCGCTCTTTTGAGCCTCTGGGAAAAAGAGGATCTACGTTAGAGATCAATGAGACTGGGAAATAGCAGGCGTCGACTCCACCAGGAGAGAGTGCGTTGTCCTTTGAGTTTCTGGAGCAACACAGAAAAAGAGCTCAGGTTCTCTCTCCATGAGATAGTTTAGGAAACACAAACTCCAGGAAGTGTGCCACATATCAGACCCAACAGCTCACTATTTCTGGAAGACGCATTCTGTTCCGGATGGGAAAGAGCCCCTGATGTCACTTTGGAGGAAACGGACCTGGAAGAAGCCTCCTGAGAGGGGCCATTCCTAGTCAAGATGTTATAGGACAGGGAGAGGAGCAGCCCAAACCCCGCAAACCTGCCTATTGTACATGGGTTCTGCCATCCGCCGCATCAACACAAAACATAGGAGACTTTAATGGGAACGAACTTTAATAAAACTAGGAAACAATACAGGTAAGGCAAATAATCTAGTTTCTAAATCAAGCACCCAAAGTTACCCGTCCCCTCGTGGGTAAAAGTCCATCCATATGGGAATGGCGCAGAGCAAGGCCCCAAAGCCTGCCACAAGTCTAAAGCATCTTCCAGTGGGGACCCACAGAAAAGGGTCACAAACAACCGGACAAGCCTGGAAGGAAAAGAGCAAAATCAACATCAAGATAAAAGCTGCCATTGTCACCTCCCCACAGGTCTCACCCACGTCTGTGTCACCCAGTCCACAACCCAAAGACAAGCGCAGTTTCTTCACGTGTCTCTAGGCTCCATGCGCCTCCTCCAGGTCTCCTGGCTCCATCCTGCTTCCTTCCTTCCTCAGTCTCTTCTTGCAGCTTCTCCTCTTCCTGCTCAGCTCCACCCTTCCTTGGGTGGGGCAGGGAACCTCCCCCTTTCCTGGGGACCACCCTGTTACAATGACATTTGTCTTCCTAGTCCTATTTCCAAAGTCTCAGAGTGATATCTTTCCCCAGCGTCCTTTGGACATGGAGTCTCAGTCATCTCAGTGTATTCATCTCTCCGATTCAGCCTGACCACTTGGGAGAGACGGTCTGAAAGTCAACCTGGCTGAAGAACGTTCTGTAAGGACTTGCGACTTGCAGGGTTTTCACAATGGTCCCAAATGGAAAGCATCTCAAACTGCATTGGGAGAAGGACTTAGACAATCATGACAGGAGGAGCTGGGAGATACAGAATGACATAGCCATGCTTGCTTCCAAGGGTTTGCAAAATGCAAAAGAGCTCCCTGCCCCTTCTGAATTGGATTGGTCTCCAATTGGCATCTTGGACAACAAAGGGGACAGCACTGTTTCCACAACACCTTCCACAGGAAATGACAAATATGGCAACAGGAAATTCACCCGCTGAGTTGCTTTTTGCAATGCAAAAATTACAACAGGATATTCAATGGATGAGTCACTTTTTGCAATGAAAAAATTACAACAGGATATTCAACGGATGAGTCACTTTTTGCAATGAAAAAATTACAACAGTATATTCAACGGATGAGTCACTTTTTGCAATGAAACAAATGCCAGTACAAAATTCACACTAGTTGACCCTCTCTTATATAAGCGTCAGGCGAGGGCGGATGTGCCAGACCTCAGATCTATGCTCGGAGCTTAATTACTTAACCATCTACCTCCCTGAGCCACCAGAGCTGCCCCGGGGTCGCTGAGGATTTCGGCACTATTGAACTGGTCTCTACCAGGCCCGACTACGACCTTACTCACAACTTCCCTCACAAAATTTACAAGATTTACAAGATTTACAAAATTTACAAAATTTACAAGATTTACAAGATTTACAAGATTTACAAGATTTACAAGATTTACAAGATTTACAAAATTTACAAAACGCTGATTTACAAAATTTACAAAACGCCATTTCCAGTTTTCCTAACCGCTGCCAGAGTGCAGGCTGTGTGTTGCAAGTAAGTGGCTTCAGAGCTTCCGCTGAGCTTCTGCTCGCTGTAACCCTTTCTACCAGATGGAGGCTGTTGTTACCACTGCCCTAGAGGTTCAGCTATTGAACCTCTTGCTACCAGAGTGGACGGTGTTACCCCTGTCTTTAGGGGCTCTGCTACTATTTAATCTGTCTCTACCAAACTGGAGGAGGTCACACGTTGCTTTAGGGCTGCAGCTAGCTCTCAACCTCTTTCCATTACACTGGTGGGTGTCACCAGTCGCTTTAGGGCTGCAGCTATCATTTACCCTCTGTCTGACAGACTGGAGGAGGTCCCACGTGACTTTAAGGCTTCTGCTAACATTTGAACTGTCAGTTTTAGACTGGTGGACGTCACAAGCCTCTTTAGTGGTCGAGCTGTCTTTAAACCCCGCTCTGACAGACGGGAGCATGTCCCAAGTTGCTTTCAGGATTCTGCTACTAGGGAACCTGTCACTCCCAGTCTGGAGTCTGTTCCAAATTGCTTTAAAGATTCATCTACTATGTAACCTGGCTCTACCAGTCTGGATGATGTCACAAGAGTCTTTAGAGGTTTAGCTATCTTGAAACCTCTCTCTAGAAGACTCCACGATGTTACCAGGTGCTTTAGAGGTTCCGCTCATTTATCACCTTTTCTCCCTACCCGCATTGGTCATTAGAGAGCCCAGGCTTTTTATTGAACCTCTCCTCTCGCTCCCAGACTGGATGTTTGGTTGGGGTTTTTCATATTTTCAACTTTTTTATGGAACCTCTCCTGACCATAATGGATGTTTGTTGTAGATTGTTTTTCATTGGTCCACTATTTTTTTAAACTCTATCAGAACAAGTGATTTCAGTTTCTCATAGTATCAGCTATTTTTTTTTTTTTTTTACCGTCTAACCGATTGGATATTAAAAAAAAAAAAAAAACACACAAAACGTCTCTTGCCTGTTTTTTTAGAGAAGGTGACAAGTTATTTTAGTGGTTCCGCTATTTTTTTAACCTCTCACTGCCATTTTGGATGTTTTACTTGTCCAGCCAATAATTCCACAGAAAATCTTATTAAACTAATGAATCAACTTAGCAAAGTGGCAGGATACAGAATCAACACACAAAAGTGAGCGGCCTTCCTATACACAAACAAATCTGAAGAAGAAGAAATCAAGAAAACCATCCTTTTCATTATTGAAACAAACAGCGAATGCGGCTGCAGTGGCTGCTGAGGGGTGGCGGGGGGGAGGCATGGGCAGAGCCGCTTGACTTCGGGGTGCGAGCGAGGATGTGCGGGCGGGAGGCCACGGGCAGGCTGATGGGGGCGGGCAGGAGCACCCTGTGAAATGGGGTGAAGATGCCAGCCAGCCTGGGCGGGGACCTGGGCTGGGAGAAGGGCCTATGCAGCCGGCTGGCCTGGAGGCTGGGCTGGGGTGGGGGGCTCGGGGCGGAGCCAGGGACACCCCACCGAGCCTGCGGGCATGGGAGGGGCGAGGGGGAGAGGCGAGGGCAGAGTGAAGTTTGGGGTACAGGGGATCTTTGAAGTGAGAAGCTGGGGGAAGGCGAAGTGAAAGGGTCGGAGACGAAAAGGGGAGGCTGTGGAAGGTGGGGGGACAGGCAGCAGGAAGGTCGGGGTAAGTGAAGGGAAGGTGAGGGGTGAGGAGCTCAGAGAGGACAAGATGGTCGGTGGGGCGAATAGGGGATCCCGCTGGGGTTCCGGGTCGAGTGCAAACCTGAGCGTGTTTGGAAATTGGGAGACTTGGGGGCGAAGGAGACTTAGGGCCCCCCTCCCGCCTCGGAGACGGGGAGGCATGTCCGGGGCGTGGGACCCCAGGCTGGTGAGGTTGGCCTTGTTGCAGCAGCTCCGGGCTGTCTAGGGTATCAAGGTGGAGGGCGGCCGTGGCCTGAGCGATCGCAGGAGACACGAAGCCGCAGCCACGGAAATAGTGGGTAAAATATTTGGAGTGCCTTTTAATGCGTTGCCCCATTCTGCTGTACCTGAATATGGACACATTCCAAGCTTTCTTACGGATGCTTGCACATCTTTAGAAGAGCATATTCACACAGAAGGACGTTTTAGGAAATCAGGATCTGTTACTCGTCTAAAAGTACTAAAGAATAAATTGGATCATGGTGAGAGCTGCCTGTCTTCTGCACCTCCTTGTGATATTGCAGGACTTCTTAAACAGTTTTTTAGGGAATTGCCAGAGCCTCTTCTCCCAGCTGATTTACATGAAGCACTTTTCAAAGCACAACAGTTAGGTACAGAGGAAAAGAATAAAGCTACGTTACTGATCTCCTGTCTTATGGCTGACCACACAATTGATGTATTAATATATTTCTTTAACTTTCTCAGGAATGTTTCTCTTAGATCTAGTGAGAATAAGATGGATAGCAGCAATCTTGCCGTTATATTTGCACCAAACCTTCTTCAAACAAGTGAAGTACATGGAAAGATGTCTGCTAACACAGAAAAAAAGCTACGATTACAGGCTGCAGTAGTACAGACTCTTATTGATTATGCATCAGATATTGGCCATGTTCCAGATTTTATCCTGGAAAAGATACCGGCTATGTTGGGTATTGATGGTCTCTGTGCTACTCCATCACTGGAAGGCCTTGAAGAAGCTGAATGTGAAACTCCTGGTGACTGTAAGAGAAAGCAAAGACAGAGTGTAGGAGATTTTGTTAGTGGAGCATTGAATAAACTTATATCTAACAGAACACCCTCTGTTACACCTCAGCAGGAAAGATTCACCCAGGTATCTGTATCACCAGTGATTCTTACACCAAATGCTAAGCGTAAACAGCCAGTAGAGTCTTCTCATGGTTTCTCAAGTAAGAAAAGGAAACCCATCAAGCACAATTTCAACTTTGAATTATTGCCAAGTAATCTCTTCAGTAGCAATTCTACTCCAGTATCAGTTCACTTTGATACAAGCTCAGAAGGGTCATCTCAATGCTCACTCTCTCCTATAGTCATCGGTGGAAACCATTTGATCAGTACAGGTGTGCTAAGGCGAAGTAAAAGGATTGCAAATAAAAAAGTTTGCAGGGTAGAATCAGGAAAAACAGGCTGCTTCTCTCCTAAAGTCAGTCGTAAAGAAAAGGTTCGAAGATCTCTTCGTTTGAAATTTCGTCTGGGGAGAAGTAGCAAAGATGTAAATGAGTGTTCTGGTATCAAGAGACATGAAAATGTTGGTCGACGACTTGCAGATCAACAAAATTTAAAAAATAGAATTGAATGTGTAAAAACCGGTCTACTTTTTAGCCCAGATATTGATGAACGATTAACAAAGAAAGATTCAAAAAAGATCAGTAAGTCTGAGGAAAACTTACTAACTCCAGAGCAACTTTATGGAACAAGTTACCGGATGTCTTGGGCAGGAACTAGTAATTCAAGTTTTCAGGAAATAGATGTAAATAAAGCTTCTCCAGTAGAGGCAAATTGTGACACGGAGAACTCTTTGGAGCCTGATAGTATGATTGAAAAGTCATCTGTTAGTTCATATGATCTCACTCCTAATATATTCAATAAGCATAATAACAATTAACTGGAGGCTCTCTTAGTGGGGAAGGAAATAACTTGACCACGGAGACTTTGGAGAAAATTCAGAAAGCATTTTCTGAATCTGGAAGTGATCTTCATACATTGATAAATCATAGGGAGTCATCAATAACTAATGTAGGGCAAGTAAAATTAAATGAAACCTGTTCTATAGAATATAGCCCAGAGAAAAATTTATTTGAAACTAATGATTTGCCTGTTATAGAATCAAATGAATGCCATACTAGCACACATGAAAATAGTTTTTCAGAAGGAGATTTATCATTACATCAGACTCAAAAACTAGATGGAGAAACAATTATGAAATGTTACCCAACTCAGATGAATATGGAAAATGACAATAGCATTCATGCAGCTAGACCAAAAGATAATTTAAGCAAGCAAGAATGGCCTGTCGATGAACAAATGAAACAGCAGTCCCCAGCAGATAAACTAAATCCTACATGAAAGAAGACTGAGGATATAATTGAAGAGAACTTTCTGCAATGTGCAGCTTCTAGGGAGGATGAGGATGCAGCTAAGACCGCTTCTGTAGAGCAGATTACATGTAACAGAACCAACTTGTCAAAACCTAGGCTTGTGAGAATTGTTAAACAGCAGTCATTGATGGAAAGAGGGGATAAAACGGTTTCTGAAAGTTTACGAGTGACAGAGCATGGTAAGGTTTCAGACCATATACAGTGGTTTAACAAGCTTTCTTTAAATGAACCAAATAGGACAAAGGTTAAGTCACCCCTTAAGTTTCAACATACACCTGTCCGTCTGTCTGTCAGAAGAATTAATTCTTTGTTGGAGTATAACAGACAGCCAGTGAGGCGTAAATTGACAAGTCTCGGTGATGCTGCTTCTCCCCTGGTTAAAGCAGTAAGCTGTGATAGTGCTCTTCCCTCTTGCGTAGAAAGTGCTTCAAAAGATTCCTCCAAGTCAAGCCCTAAAGAACAGAAGACTACATCATATGAACTGTCAAATGTTGATTCAATTTCAAAATCGAGCATGGACTTGACTTCTAACTCTTTCTCAAAGATGAAGAGACACCCAGACTCCATGAATGCTACTCTTGGGTCTACCAGAGTTTGTAAACAAGAAGTGATAACTGATGGTCAAGTTAAGTTTCCCTTGGATGATCTGACAAATCTCAAAAAACTGAGGTTATATTTTACCTTTTTAAAGGAATTATTGACTGGGTTTATAGAAATTTATTTTTGAAAATTAAGAATTTATTTTTTAAGTGTGGTAGGAAGAGTGGAATGAGTTTTGCCTATTTGCTGTTATTTCTCCTAAATCAGACTAAATTTTTTTTGTTTTGATTTGTTTTTTTAAGATTGACTTATTTATTTATAAAAGCACTGGGTACAGTGTACAGTCAGAAGCGTGGGAGGGTGAGAGAATTCACCAGAGCCAGAGCGGGGAGCAGAGCAGGCAGAAGGACCGAAGTACACTGCTGAGGGGAGCAGCGGGCGACAGGAGAGGTCTGCACGCCATGTGGGACCCTCCTCTGGTGGCCGGGGAGTAGCCGGGGATCGAACTGGCACTGCAGAGGCTACGGGCAGCTTCGCAAGCCAGCGCTCAACCGCTGCGCCACCGGGGAGGCCCTAAATCAGACTAAGTTTCTCCGAGAAATTTCCCGCATATAATTGGAAGAGATAAAACCCAGCAAATCTCATTTCTTGAGTTACATTAATGGTTTTTACCAGAATCCCCAGAAATTAATTAGCTTCAATAGCCTCAATTCTTTATTCCTATTCGGGGCAGAGAAATCAAGTTTTTATTGCCTGTAGAAGCGTGCACTACATTCACTTGAATATTTGACCGAAGCAGAAGAATGACTCAAGCGTTGTGTTCATGGAATATGAAGCTGCAGAAGGAACTGATGACTTTTAAGCCATATTACGTTTTTAAAGTTAATTTGCACAAATACATTTGCATCTGTTTTGTCCAAAGGAGAATTTTAAATTATTTAAGGAGGAATAATAAAATGAAAAATTTTAATAAGGTGATTTCTTATATGCAGATGTTTGATTTTAAAATGTGTAACAGTGATGCATCTATGTACATTTAACCTGGATTCTTAAGCTTTAGTGTCTTATAAAAGCCCATGATGATTTTGTCTTGTGTGTAATGTTATTTATTTAGCATAGACATTAAAAGAAACTTTATGGAAAGCAAAAAAAAAAAAAAAGAAACAAACAAACAAACAAACCAACAAAAATCCAATACTTGGGAATAAGGCTGACACAACAGGTAAAGGCTCTATACAAAACACATTATAAAAGATTATGAAAAGAGGGCCTCCCCGGTGGTGCGGCAGTTGAGCACTGGGTTGCAAAGCTGCCCCGCAGCCTCTGCAGCGCTGGTTCGATTCCCTGGCTGCCGGTTTGATCCCACATGGCGAGCAGACCTCTCCTGCTGCCCGCTGCTCCCCTCAACAGTGTATTTCAACGATATGCCTGTTCTGTTCCCCGCTCTGGTTCTGGTGAATTCTCTCACCCTCCTGTGCTTCTGACTGTACCCAGTGCTTGTATAAATCAATAATAAAATAAATCTTACAAAAAAAAAGATTATGAAAAGAAATTGGGAGAAGGACTTAGAAAATCATGACACAAGGAGCTGGAAGATACATCATAAAATACCCATGCTTACGTCCAAGTGTTTGGAAAAGGGAAAAGAGTTATCTGCCCCATCTTATTAGGATTTGTCTCTAATTTTCATCTTTTACAACAACGTGAATAGCACTGTTTCAATACCTTTGATATGAAATGAAAAAACATTTCAACACAAAATTCACACTATTAGTTGTTTGTTGCAAATGAAAAAAATTCCAATACAAAATTTACATGAGTTGTTTGATGGAAATGAAAAAATTTCAATACAAATTCACTCGACCAAACGTTTGTTGCAAATGAAAAAATTTCAATACAAAAATCACAGGACGAGTTGATTGTTGCAAATGGAAAATTTCAATACAAAATTCACACGACTTGTTTGTTGCAAATGAAAAAATTTAAATACAAAATTCAGACTATGAGCTGTTTGTTGCAAATGAATAAAATTCCAATAAAAAATTCGCACAACGAGTTGACTCTCTCTCATCCAAGAGTCAGGCGAGGGAGGGTGAGAGAATTCACCCTCAGTTCCCCTCACCGTGTATATCAACGATCTGCCTCTTCTGTTCCCCGATCTGGCTCTGGTGATTTCTCACCCTCCTGTGCTTCTGACTGTACCCAGTGCTTCTATAAATTAATAATATAATGAATATTTTAAAAAAAAGATTATGAAAAGAAATAGAAGAGGACACAAAGAAATGGAACCACATCCATTTGAACCTACTCTCTACCAGATTTGCTACTTGAGAATTCCAGCCTGACCATGGTTATTTATTGTACCATTTCTTTGGATATATTTATCTATATTTGTAAGCCAGAGACATCCTGCAGGGGGGGAGGAGCGAGGAGCTCAGGGGACTGAGGTGATGGTGCACGGGGGCATTGGTGAAGGAAACTCTGCGTGCTCCACCTGAGGTGGGGGAAAGCAATCATTGCTTACAAAGGAACAATGATGACAAACCCATAAAAAGAAAATACAATAAAAAGAAAACAAAAGGACAACAGCTCTCCTGTGTTTATTGCGGCCCGATCTAGGATAGTTAAGCCATGGAAACAACACAAATGCCCCCAAGAGATGACTGCATCAAGGAGTTAGGATGCACACGATGGAATATTACTCAGCCATCAGAAGGGAGATAGTCATGCCATTCGCAGCAACATGGATGGCACTGGAAAAGGATGATGCTCAGTGAAATAAGCCAGAAGAGAAGAGAAAAAGGTGAGAAGATTTCACTGATGGCAAGAAATGTAGGGAAACCCAACAAGGGATCAGGACACAAAGTAACTACAATAAATTAAAACTCAAAACCAACAGGCAACCCTAGACCCGAGACATTCTGTAGGGGAGGCGGAGCCAGAGGGATGAGGATAAGGGTGGGAAGAGCACAAGGGTCTATGGTGACTGGGCATGGGCGCCTTGGTGGTGGGCATTTCATAGGGAGGTCACACATTGTACAAAAATGAAGGATGGGGTAATAAATAGATTGCTGAAAACATAAGCTCCAGCTATCATTGTACCACCTCTCTCTACAGATTGGATCTGCCAAGTCA